CTCAGGGTACCTTCCTACTTCCTCTTCTTCTAAGCTTGGAGATTGGGGTTGGACACTCAAGAGAACCCAGGATGTAGCCAGGTGTGTTGGCACTTGCCTGTAATCCCAGCGGCTCAGGAGGCTGAGGCAGGAGGATTGCGAGTTCAAAGCCAGCCTCAGCAACTTAGCAAGGCCCTAAGCAACCTAGTGAGACCCTGTCTTAAAATAGAAAATAAAAAGGGGGGCTGGGGATATAGCTCAGTTGGTAGAGTATTGCCTAGCATGCACAAGACCCTGGGTTCAAACTCCAGCACCACAAAAAAATAAAAATAAAAATAAAAAAATAAAAAGGGTTTAGGATGTGGCTCAGTGGTTAAGCACCCCTGGGTTCAATCTTTGGTACTGAGGGAGAGAAAGAGGTGGGGCAGGAGGGTGGGCGAGCACAAGTGCCCAAGATATTCATTTTTATTGTAGTAGAAGTTTCCCTCCAAGCAGCTGAGACACCCACTTGGCTTTCCCTCATCCCTGGATAGGTTCCAGAAGGTCCCACCATCCCTCAGGAACCACAATTTTGGGGTCCACCCACTCTGACCCTCCCATCCCAGGCTGCAACCTTACTGGCAACACTTTAGAAAATGAGGTGCAAGCCTCTGCTGCTGTGAGGCCGCCCAAGATTATCTGGGGTTTCTCTTGCCCTTCTCTGCTTCTCAAGCAAGCAAGGTGGTGAGAAACAAGATTTCCAAGATTTTCTCAGTCAACACAATACATTCATTGTTAACACAAAATGACGGAGCCCCGTGCAAACTTCACGGATCAGCACGGCCTTTCTTCAGTGGTGGAGTCGTGCCCTTGGTGGACCCACTTTCCTGATGGAAAATGAGCCACGGTCCCCAGGAGGAATCTGTGGTTCTATGTGATACACTGAGAAGTGACTTAATTATTAATAGAGCGTGTCAGTTTGGGCACTCAGGAAACAGGTTTGTAAGAATTTGATATTTGTTTTACTGGATAGTATTTTTATTTGGGGAAGAATGGAGGGTCTGGAGTCAGTGTTCAGTGCTTATCTCTTTTCCTTCGGGGTCCCATTGTACTGTCACTAGGAAAGGATTCATTTGGAAAAGGATCAATGCTTCGGCTTCTCCCCCCAGAGACTGCCATTCTAGGCTTGATGGACGTCCCCTTCCCGGGGATTGTCTTATCACTGGATGATGTTTGCTTCCTTCCGGGGGATTGTGCTGTCCCCGGGAAAGGATCCTTGTTATCAGTGTGTTGCCTTCTTCCTCACTCCCTCTTTCCAGGTCACACGATTTGGGGGTTTGTCATTTTTCCATATCTCATACCCATCAAGGAAGGAGGGCAAGAAGGATGGGAGGAAGGTTATTCTTTCCAGAGGGGAGACAAGGGCCCTATGGAGAAGCATCTCTCCAAGGCTCCCCATTTCTGAGTCAGACTGCGGCAAAGCTGGCCCACTCCTGAGGAACCAGAGGGCTGGAGGGAGGCATCTCCACCAGGCGCGCCCAACTTTAACGTGCATGTGAACCACTCAATTGGTAGGGTGAGGGTGTGAGGGTGCAGCCTTAGCTTCCACTTCCCTGACAGTTGTGGGACCATGCTAATGATCCCAGGACCACACTTTGACTAGCAAGAGTGTGGAGTCTAGACCAGTGGCTCTTGGCCTCAAATGACCATGAAAACACCTGGGGAGCTTGTAAAACCTGGATGCACAGGCCATACCCCAGTTAGGCCAGATTTGCCAGACGTCAGGGTCGTGGACTGCTCACAGATGATTCCTATGTGTGACCAGGATGAGAAGCCTGGTCTACATCAGCTCATTACTTTATTATGGAGAGACTGAGATCCAGAGAGGGGCTGGGCCCTGCCTCAGACTGCATGGCCGATGCATGGAAGATTTTGGCACAGGGTTGGGGTGCTTGGTTCCTGTGCATCAGATAAGGAGGCTAGGGAGGAGAAGGGCTGAGACTCAAAAATCAGCCTGAGGGAACCCAGAACCTTCCAGATTCTGGGATGAGAGGGGCCATTAGGCTGTGCCAAAACATTGTTATTTATGTCCCTCATATGTACCCAGCTCTTGTCCTCTCATACCTTCATGTTCTTGGTCCCCACAGAGCTGTGGGATCATCACCCTGTTTATAGATGGGGAATTGGAATCCACTTGACCAGAAGTACAGTCATCTGTCGTTGGAAGCCTCCTATGTCTTGAGAGCTCCAAATTTTTTTCCCTTACTGATTCCAAAATGCAAATCTTTCCTTCAGCCCCTTTTAAATTTATGAAATTGAGTTCTCTCTGACAAATCATGCCAAAGACACATTCAGGCCACCAAGTCAGGCAGTAAACCGATGTGGTTACCATCAACAGGGCCTGGGTAGCAAATACCCATTCACCCTGGTGTGCCTGTAGTGTCACCCTGGTGGCCTTGCATCTTAATTTGTATCTCCAGATTGTGCTTAAAATGCCTTTGGAAAGGTCACTTCTGGGAAGCATTTAGGCCGACTGCAGAGAAATACGTTACATGCCAGACCAGTGCAGCCAAGGACATCAAAATGGCCAGTTCCCTTGGAAGAGCTCACATACTTTTTAAGACCTGGAAAAGCTACTAGAATTCACTGCCTGCTTCACTTGTCTCTTATTTTATCTTTGTGTTCCCAGGATCTAGTACAGGGTTTGGCGCATAATAGGTGCTTAGTAAAAGTTTGTGGAGGATGGATGGAGGGGGCCCATTCTGAGGGTCCCTAGAGAAAGCCTCCCCTGTTCTCCCCTCCAAGGTGCTGCTCCAGCCAGAGCTCCAGTGAGTACCCACCCACACCCTCACGGTGACTACTGAATTGCTGGCCTTTCTCACTGGGTTGAGAGATCTGCAAAGCCAGGGCCCATGCTCATTCATCTCTGCATGACCACTGCAGGCCCCAGGCCGGCACATAGACTGCGCTTGTTAAATTGAGTCGCATGGAATCCTGAGATGAGATCAGTGTGCACACAGCCGCTTCCTGGTCACTCAGGAATGCCTCTCGGGAAGTAGAGGAGTCCAACTCAAGACTAACCACTAGGAAAAAGCCTGAGCCCTAGGGGACAAAATTTGCACAAGGCCCACTCCTCCATGGACAGGCATGAGGTGGGCTGAGGACATGCTCAACCTAAGGCGGATAGACCAGTGAAGGGAGAGGACTGGGGAACAGGCCCATGACCTGGACCGATCCTTAGTTCCCATGTACACACCAGCCACAGCCCTCTGTTCTGTCATAACAGCAGGAGATGGGCGAGTCTGGGTCAGCAGCTGAAGAGGGTGTGCTGTAGTCTTGACATGGATTATTCCATTGGATGCTCTCATTTCCAGGTTAATGAGGCACAGAGGGGTTAAGGAGTTTCCCTAGGGGACTCTCCTAGTAAATAGCCTGGCAGGATTTGAACCCAGTGAGCTGGTCCCAGCTCCCATGCCCTGGTCCACTCTGCTATGCCCCAGCCTCTGGCCATCTGTGCCAGTAGCACTTCCTTGCCTTCCCTGTGGCCACCCATGGGCTCTGCCCATGCCCATCTCCCCAAGAGGCCTCCCCCATGGGACATTAAAAGAGCCACAGGGATTTATCATTGTGTGCAGAGCCCAGCATGTGGCTGCAGCCAGCCATAGTTGGTTCCTGACCTCTCTCTCCAGCCAAGAGCCTGCTTTATATCCAGAAAGAACAACTGGGGGCCAACGATGGGTCCAGCATCGCCCGATAGTTTAAACTGAGACCTGGAAAGGATGGGTGATTTCCTTAGAGAAATACCTTGTGTTGGCTGTGGAGACCCAGTGTGCCCAGGGTCCCCAGGGGCCACTCCCAACACTGGGAACCAACAGGCTGAGTGATCTGCTCCCCGCTTGGTTGTTTGGAACCCCTGGACCTCCGCAGTACACACACACACAGGCAGGGTGAGCATGTGTGTTCAGCTTTATTTCCTTCCATGCCAAGAAATACAGAGTCACTGGTGTGAGTGGTGATGGCAGTGGGGAGGGGTTCCAGGGAGAGGCTAGATCGGTACCCCCAGCCAGGGGACCACCTGTTCATGCATCTGGTGGCTGGACCCATAATGGAGCTGGAATAGCAGGATCACT